CAGTATTAGGGCCCCACTCAGGGGCTACTCAGGGTAGCCCTGTAGGACAGAGAAATCCATGCAATGAGCTGAACTTTAAGTTCCAGAAAGGAGAGAGGGTCAAAGATATGGATCTTCACTAATTCCTGAGCAGCAACTAACCATTTGGCTGGATGATTAGAAGCTTGGAAGGAGCGAGACTAGAGGAATTATTGACATGGTCTGGGGGAAAGTTATATAAAAAATCCTCTCCGAAGGAGCCCCAAGTGTGACAATAACTGTATCCCATGTTACTGTCACCAAAGATCCCATGACTGTCACCACTGCATGAGGCTCAATAATCAGGTGAGCAAGATGGCCCATTCTTTGGATGTGAGCCATCTCTCCCTATGCAGCCAGTTTTTGCTGCTCCTGTTGCCCTGGGAGCAGACACGGTCGGTGGAGGTATCCGACATGGCAGCCTCCTGATCCTAGTGGCTCCCTTCCCCTCTTCCCTCTCCATGTGTTGGGCACTGCTTTAATATCCTATACCCCAAGGAGCATATTTTGGGACATCCAGCACTTAATGTCAATATCAATGTTTCTTAAAGTGTGGTCATCAGAATCACCTGCGTCTGCTTGCTAATAAGTAGGAATCGGGAAACTGATTTTTATTGAAATCTCCAGATAATTCTTACCTTCATTAAATGTTTGGCAATGTAGTCTTGAACAAAAGGAAAGTGCTTGAGGTTTCTCTCAACTAGAGTCTGCCCTCTTAGTTCAGTTTCCCAATCTTAGGACTTCCTCTTCCCTAGTACCTGGCCCCAGGATTAATCTCTTCTTAGGGGCAGTAGCCCCCCCGCAACCTGCAAGGTGAAGCCTTAAATTTCAAGAGAACCACAGGCCAGGTGAGCATAGTCTCGATGCTCCTGTGAGAAATATTCACATCCAAGAACAGAGTGGGTCGTGCCCTGACAGCACGCTCTTTACCATCCCAGAATTCCTCATCACGGCAGAGAAGGCAGGCTGCTGGAGAAAGAAGGCTGGAGATCATGTGCTTATCAGCCACTCCTCTCTGAAGAGGGGTTGAGATTTATGAGATCTTCAAAGGGGACCAACTCCTAGACTCCCAGCCGGAAGGCACAGCCTGGGAACAGAGAAGCTATCCATGCAAATGCGTTTGAAAGTCAAGAAAGCGTTCTCCTGTCCCCTCCAGTCTCAGCCAGCCATACGGCTCTCGGCAGCCACTCAAGCAGACGCCGCTGCTGGCATGCCACTCTGGTCCCTCTTGTCACCACCTTCCCACCTACTCCTCAATGAAGTCCTGCTGATGTTTGCTTAAACCTACACACACTCAACCTCTTTATCCTCTTCACTGTGGTCGTTACAACCTGCTTAATTCCTTTGTGCCAAATAGTAACTGACAAATCAGATTTCTGGAGCTGGGAATGGTTACCCCACCAACCGAATGTTTACATGTCAGGCCATGATGGAATACAATATTTTCAATCTTTAAAATTTAATTAATGGCTAGCTAGTGTTTCTCCCACATTCCCAACAGCAGTCACTGAAACGTAGAATATCTAGGCCCTTCTCAGACTCCTACCCTTATACAGTCCATTGTAGGGGTTTATAAAGTGAGATCGTGGGTTATGGTTGTCCTTCCAGCACAGAGACAGTAGGAGGGGATCTATTTAGAGTAAAAGAAGCTCCCTCATGGGACTTGATTCTGTTGCCCATGTGGGATGCTCGTTTGCTCTGTGACTTGAAGCACATTTGTCTCGGGTTCATTCTCTGTAAAATAAGACATTTCCTAAGAAGGGGCTTCTCCCTCTCTCAGAGGGCTGGATGAGGCCGTGAGCCGCATTTGATGCCAGAGGAAGAGTGATCAGCTCTCTCTTCACAAGCCCATTCCTATTCCCAAGCATGGATCTGGAAACCACAGGGGGCCAACCTCTTCAAGAGTTGGCTATGGTTTCTGGCCCAGACCCATGAAGACCCTGAGCATGTTTGCAGAAACTGGAGGGAGTGCAGAGGGGTGTCCTGCGGGATATGGGGAGACGGAGTGATGCCGTGGAGAAAGCAGCACATTGAGAGGAGCTCTGGGTCCCCAGGTCTGGTTGTGAGACCCTTCCTTAAGCTTCCCAGGTCTTCATTTTCCTTCAAGTGTTGAAGAAACACAGAATTCCTCTCCGAATCCTCAAGGAGTGCAAACGTGCTAAGTCTTTCGCATCTTTAAAGCCCACATCACACTCCAGCCCCCAGCTCACTCTCCTCCCCCTCACAGCCAAACTTCTGGAAAAAGTTTTTCATAATATCCCTGCCTGATTAACCCAACTCATTCTTAAAGTTCCCAGAACATGGTGGCTAAAAGTGTGAGTTCTGGACTCAAATTGCTTGGGTTTATATCTTGGTGCCCCCACCTGGTTGTGGCCTTGGGCAAATGACTTCTCTCTTGCCTCAGTTTCTTGATGTGAAAATGAAGATGAGAATAGTATTGACGTCAGAGTGATGTATTAGGTTTAAATGCCTTGGTTTCTGTAAAGTGCTTAGAACAGTACATGGTATGTAATGAGCCCTCAATAAATATAGTTATTCTGTTTAAATCTCAATCTAAGGTTAGTTTCTCAGAAATTCCATCTCTGGCTTCCCACTTTGGGTCAGGCTTTCATAGTTTTCCCTTAAGTTGTAATTTGAGTTTTTTTTGGTGTGGTTTATTATTACCCTCACCCAGGACACTATAAGATCAAAGAGAGCAGGAATTGCTTCTTGTTTGTCGACACTGTATTCCCAGTGCTTAGCACAGGCCTGGCACAGAGCAGGGGCAAGTCAACATGTGTTGAACATACAAAGGAATGAGCGAGTGGGTGTATGAGTGCCCACCTGTGCCCCTGAATGATGGATGCTGCCTGCAGAGAGCCAGCCCCAGATCCCTGATGAACTCACTGTGGGAGGGATCTTTGACCAAAGGATACCTGGTGCCTTGAAAAACTGACTGTGGCTCTTAAAGCGAGCCCATTAGGGACCCCCTTCAGGCAGAAGAAAGCTCACTTGAGCCAAGACTGTGCATGTCTTGGAGAAGTTGCTATTTGCACATGAATGTCGTAAATTCAGACTCTGAGCTGTAGAACAAATCCTATCGCTCAGTGAGTCCAGTGGTTCAAAAACACAGTCACCATCAGAAACCTTAGGGAAGTTGTGAGAAAAGTACAGATTACTGAGTCCTGCCCAACCTGCAAATCCCCAGGAGTTTATGCTGGGAACTTGAATTTTTTAACAGCTCCTCATGTCATTTTGCTGCAAGCAGCCTGCACGGACCAGCATTTGAGACCCTCTACTCTTGTCAAATTCTCTCATTTTATAGAAAAAGAAACAGAGGCATACTGGCACCATATCAATAATGGTAGCATGACTGTTTTCATGAACAATGAAGTTAACCAGTAATTTGCTTGGGACCAGAAAATATGGTGTGCCTTTTGAAACAACACAAAATACAAATAATACATATCAGGGTTCACCAGCATGGAAGTGGGGCCTGGCAGCGCCTCCTCCCCTTCCTATTGTGGTTAGAGCAAATATTAGATTGTACGACTGACTCAGTCATGTTTCTTCCTGTAGCTTGGCTGGGGCACGTTTGCCGAGTTCAACATGGAATGAGCTGGTATAACCTGTCTAAGCGCTGACAGCCCCAGACACAAGGCTCAGTCCCTCCCACGCAAGTGCTTTGCACCTGAGTGTTCCTAGTTTGTGAGAACACAGCAATTATCACCATTGTTCTCTAACTCAGAGTGTCGCAACCTGGGCACTACTGACACTATGGGGACTTTCGACTTTTACTAGATAATTCTTTGATGGGCAGGGGGTAGCTATCGTGTGCACTGTAGGACGTTTAATAGCATCCGTGGCTTCTACCCACTAAAGAACAACAAAAACATCTGCAGCCATTGCCAAATCTCCCCAGCAAGGGTAAAGTCACCACCCCACTCCCCCGCCCCGTCCCCCAATGAGCACTGCTCTAACCTTACAAACCCATCTCACAAGGAACTTGGAGAACTTACAGTACGAGATCAGGAATTTTCACTGGACCCTGTTTCCCCCACGGAGAAAATATAGAAGAATATTTCTCTGGATTTCATCAACAAGACCCAAAAAGCACAAACCAAAAGGAAAGGATTGATAATTTTGCCTACATTAAAATGTAAAACATTCGTATGGAAAACATCATACGCGAAGCTACCGCAGACTGGGAGAAAGTATTTGTAAGACAAATATTCCACAAAGGGTTAGTCTTCAGAATACACAAGGGACATCTCAGAATCAATAATAAAAAGACAAAGACTTCATAGAAGAATGGGCAGAGGATATGGTTGGCAGTCTATAAAGAGGAGACTCTAAGTGGCCAATACACATATGAAAAAACCCCATCGGTAGACAAGGAGATGTAAATGGAAGAGATCAGATACTACCTTACGCGGCAGGGATTTAACAGTAGTTATTAGGTTGACAGTGCCAAGTGGTGGAGAGGGTCTTGAGTATAGTATCTACTCCCATACACCTCTAGCAGAGGTGTAAATTTGGAAAATCACGTTAGAAATTGTGGCGTTATCAGGTAAGGTTGAATACACATACACCCTATCATCCTGCAGTTACTCTCCTGACCATATTCCCTGGAAACTAACTCATCTCCATGAGGAAACACATACAGGGAGTGTGTTACAACCACGTCTGCAATCATGAAAAACTGGACACAAACCTAATGTCTACCCACCAACTGGCGAATGGATGAATGTTTAAGGCACACGTGCACTTCGTAGAACACCATTAGCATTAAAAATGAATGGGCTGGCTCGGCGGACTATTTAACGGGGAAAATCATATTTTGAAAGGATATTGCAGTATGGATCCAATTACATAGTGCTTAAAAACAAAGAAAGTACTATATACTATTTATAGACATATGCATGTTATTAGCAAAAATATAAAAACATGGATGAAACGAGGATAAGAAAAAAGAAGCAAAGGGGATGCAGGGAGGTCTACCATTGTGTTTACAATGTTTTATTTTTTTAAACAAACCAAAAAAAAGAATACATCCAAAGGAAAAATGTCAACCTATGTTTATTAAGGCTGATGGCTACGTGGGGTACCAATTGTTTCATTTTTTAGACTTGTTTGAATATTTGAAATATTTTATATTTTTAAACCTTAAACATTTAAAAATAAACACATCTGGAAAAGACAAAACCATAGGGATGGGAAACAGATGGTTGCTAAGGATTCGGGTGGGAATAGAGGTTGACTGTAACGGAGCCCCAGAAATTTTGCAGGGTGATGGAATTCTTCTGTATGTTGCCTTGGGTGGTGGTTACACAACTATATGCATTTGTCAAAACCCACTGAAGTGTAAATTTTTAATAAAGTGAATTTTTTGTTTGTAAATTATGCCTTAATAAAAAAAAAGAAGAAGAAAAAATTCATCCAATAATGGTAGGACAACTCCAAATAACATCGTACTCTCACAAGACTGAAGGAGGTGAGGACAAGAAGGACTTTCTCCTTGATGCCCACTGCTCCCTCCTTCAGTGAAGACAGTCTTTCCCAGAAGTCCCCAGCACACTTCTCCTTAGGTCTCATTGGTCGGAGCTGGGTCACATAACCATACTTGGACCAATCATTGGCAAAAGCACAGAGGATGCCAAAACTGGCTTACACCAAAAATGAGTCTTTCCCTCTGTCTAGGCATATTGATACTGGAACAACATTAGAATTTGTTTAGCAAGACAGGAGGGGACAGTAATGTGGGTAGGCCACCAAAAGCGGCTGCCTCTCAGCCAGTATAAGCCCATCACTGATTTAAATCCCACTTAGGGACTAAGAGCTAAAGTTCTAAACACTTCTCACCCTTCAAGTGCCCTGGGGCTTCGCAACCTCAAGCTTCACCGGAAAGGTGCCTGGTTGGGCAGTTTGGGTGATAGATTCTTATAAAAATTGAGCATATCTGAGACCTCGTTGAGAGGGGCCTGCCCATCTGTATGAGCAGCTTCCTGAAACAGAACTCTTCTAAAGGAAGAAAGGGTTGATTCCATCACTATGTCAGCTGAAATTTATTTAACACCTACATGTGTCAGTCATGGTGGTAAGGGCTGGAGACATAGAGAACAGGACAAATGTAGAGGAGAAGCAATTGTCACTCAGGTCACCCTCCATGCCAGCACCCACAGACACAGTGCATCCAAGGGAGATGGACCTGTATTAGGATGAGGAAAATCTGCAAGAGTAGTTTCTATAAAAACACAATGAGCACCCAGCAGCACTGCATCAGAGCCTGGATGAGAAAGCACGGATGACACGAGTGGGGGCAGAGGGGATTTATCTCCACGTGGCATTTGTAGAGACCATTTGTGCTCTGAATGGACACAGTGGCCCAAGTATCAAGCCAGCTCAGCCCACATCCTGCTCAAAGAAGTCACAGGAGGAGGAGGCATGCTCTGGAGGTGGAGTGGGCACGTGAGTGGGTGTAGGGGGCACTGAGCCCTGCCAGCAGCTCTCAGTAGCTCTGATGGCAGGGCAGAGGTGCAGCAGCTCCATAAAAAAGGAAATAGCAGAGTCCAGCCTTTCACAAAACAAGCAAGATATCCCTGGACTCTCCCAAGACCAGGCAGGAGGAATTTAAGGAGAGCTGGAGTTCCTTTAGATCCCCTGGGGATGATGCTCTACTGTTGATGTGACCTATTTTTATCCACAGGTTGGTACATGGGGATGAAACATGGACTTCAGGACTTAGGAACAATCAGAGGAGGCACCCATCAGTTGACGATTATTCTACTCTGATCCTGCTGCCTCGACAAATTCATTTGACTTTATTATTATAGAAACTTCAAGCATATACAAAAATGAAGAACACAGTATAATGAGGCTCCGTGTACCATCACCCAAGCTTCAAAAATTATCACTACATGGCCAATCTTGTTTCATCTCTCCCACTTCCTCCTCATACTATTTTGAGGTAAATACCTGATTTTATATCATTTTTGTCCATAAATATTTCCGGATGCATCTAACAGATAAGGACTCTTTAAAAAAAAGAAACATAACACATAATACCATTATCACTTAAAAAAATTAGTAAGTCCTTAATATCATCAAACCCAGGCAGTACTCAAATTTCCAATTGTCTCATAAATGTCATATACTTTTTTTTTACACTTTGTTTCAGGATCCAAATACTGTCCATGCATTCTATAAATCTTAAACTTCTGGGAATTATGGTTGAAACAAAAGCCAGAACAAAATTGGACTTCTCTATCCCTATCTTATGTTTTATGAAATTGCAAAACTGGGGAGAGTATTTTTTTCCTTATTAAAAAAGTTTCAAAGGTTATGTTAGTAATTGGCAAGCTATTTCCAAGGCCCTCATGTTTCTAGCCTCATAACCAGAAGCACTAGGCAATTTGACTGCCCAGCAATGTTGGCAGGTGAGTTATTTCCCAGCGGGGTCCATCCGGATTGCAGTGTTCCTCCTGTAAGAGGCACCTGCCCTCGGGATCTCCTCTGAGGCCTAATTAAGTCAGAGTTCAGGTGCTGAATCAGCCACCAGAGGGCTCCCGAGGAACTCGATGAATTTCGGAGTTACCCAAAAAGCCAACTTGGTGCATTTTATTATATACAGACTAATCACATTAGGTTGCATTCTGCCAGCAGAAAAGAATAGACCTCAGGCAATTGTGGCTTGTTGCCCAAGATTGGCAGGAAAAGGACACAGTGAGCTGTCAGTTGCCCTGTCAAAGGATTTTATATTTGCAGCTCCCCCCTCAACCCCTCAGTGGTCTTCCTTGCAGATCCACTTGAAGGCAAAGAGAGCATACTCAGATGGGGAGAACTCCATGCTAAGATCTTTGGAACCCCCTGATTGTCAATAAACCCTTCAATTATTAAGTTCATAGAGCGTCATTATAAGCATGTTAGACATATGCTTACGTCTAGGTGGGGATGGTTAACATGAAATTACACTCCCAGGAAGGAGCACAAGCCTGAGAACCTGGACATCCAGATTCTCCATTTGGCCTTGCAAATCTCTCCCCATCGCTAGGCCTCACTGCTGGAAACTGAAGGAGTCGGGAGTGAAGCCACTCGCGAGGGTCTCTTCCTTCTCCGTTGGGAGTTTTGGTTGAGGGACTATTTTAGTTTGCCGGGGCTGCAATAACAAAGAACCACAACTGGCTGGCTCGAAACAACAGAAGCGTGTCACCTCACTGCTCTGGAGGCTAGAAGTCCTAAATCAAGCTGTCAGCAGGGCCGTGCTCTCTCTGAGGCTCTTGGGGAGAATCCTTCCTTGCTTCTTCTAGCTTCTGCTGTTTACCGGCAATCCTTGGTATTCTTAGGCTTGTAGATGGCCGTCTTCTCCCTGTGTGTCTTCCCTCTGTGCATATCTGTCTCTGTGGCCAGATTTCCCCTTTTTATAAGGACACAGTCATATTGGATTAGGGCCACACACAAACCCCCAACATTTCAACTTGATTACCTCTGTAAAGACCCTATCACCAAATAAGGTCACATCCCAAGATACTAGTGGGATTAGGACTTCATATCTTTTGGTGGGCTACAATTCAAACTATAACAGGGACCACATCGTCGAAAAGATGATGTTTAGAAGGCTTGTAATGACAAACCCATGAAGTGTGCTCCCTAGTGGGTCTTACCACCCTGAGGGTCCAAGACACAATTACCAATCTACAAAGGTATCATAATAACACAGAAACAATTATGATATGGAAAACTACATACTGTGATTTTAACGAGGAAAATGAACATTGTAACCCAAATTACATTAAATTCACTACATTTGATGTTTTCCTATGATCATTAATATAGAAAATAAATACAGGATAAGACCGAAAATATCCAGATTTTTTTTCTAAAAAGGTACATCAGAGGGTCATTATTATGCTACTAAAAAGATTATCACAGAACTCTTTTTTATAGTAAACACTCAGGACTCTTTTATATACTAAACACAGAGAACTTGTCCATCTTAAACATTCACAGAATCAGATTCACCCCTTTTGAGGAACACAAGTGTTTGTTACCTACACGAGGCCACCCCAGCTTTGGCTCATCACCACCAACAAGGGGCCATCCATTCTTCCGGGCTTTACCTGACCATTCATGGCCCCACAGGTGTCGATCCCAGAAGGCACCCCTTCAGTTCCTGAGATGGTTTCTCAATGAACAGCGTCAGGGCCAGCCCAGCGATGAAAGTCAGCAAACAGTGTCCAGAGAAAAGATAGAACTGGAGAGAAAGAGGGGCAGAGTGGACAGAATCTTACTACAAGACTCCTATTGTGTTTAGATCTTAAAATGTACCATCCTGGCTTTACGAAATGGATCTGTAAGATAAACATTAAACTAACATTAAACTAAACATTAAAAATAAAATAAAGATATCATCCTTTGCTGAAGCCCTCCCTCAAATAGAACAAAGAATAGGCTCTTAATTTTCCAAAAAACTCCCCAGGCTTCTAACAAAGCCAGTAGGTTGCTTCATTGTTCCAGAAAAGAACAAAGTGTGGGGCGACCCCAGAGCGGAGAGCTGGGGGCTGACTCACCATGTTGGTGTCGGTGTAGTGAATAAGCATTTCCTGAAGTCCGTTGTAGAGGATGATGATGATGGGGTGCACCAGGTAGCAAGCGTAACTGATGCTGGCCAGGAAACTCCAGATATTGCAAGAAAGCAGCTGGTTTACCAGACCTGGAGGGAACAGGCACTGATTCATGGAGCCCCAAGCCCCTCTCTGAGGGTGTGAAGACACTGGGTCATCACCAATTCCTCTGTATGCTCTACCTAAGTCTGTGAACTTCTTTTAAGAAGGTCTTCATTCATTATACTTTTCGAGAGACTGTGCCCAAAAACACCATTATAGATGAAAAACTAAGAGGTGCTAATGTGGAATTTACAGTCAGTTTACTTCCTTAGTGTGGTTTCAACCCCTGAGCACAAAATCGTCCACATATAAAACAAAGTGTGAAGTCCTTTCACTAGCCTGGGATCTGGTTCAAGACGCAGCCACACAAGCAGCCTGCCTTGGGATGAGGCAGTTAACATCGAGGGCTCAGCTTCTTCATCTGTTATTGAGGGAATTGCGTTTGATCAACTTCTAGGTCCCATTCAGGACAAATATTCTGTAACTTGGTGTATCTTCTAGAACTGCACTGTCCTATATGATAGCACCTAGCTACTGTGGCTATTTACTTTAAATTAATTAAAATTAAATACAATGAGAAATCCCTCTCTGAATAGGACTTACTGCTATCTGTAGTGGGCTGAATACTGATCTCCCAAAAGACATGTGCAGCTGGAACCTCAGAATGTGGAGTAATTATTTGGAATAAAAGTCTTTGCAGATGTAATTAAGGGAAAGAACTCAAGATGAGGCCATCCTGGATTAGGGTGGGCCATAAATCCAAAGACAAGTGTCCTTATAAGAGATAGAAAAGAAGACAGAGACACAGAGGAGAGGGCCATGTGAAGATGGAGGCAGAAACTGGAGTGATGCACCTACCAACCAAGGGATGTCAAGGCTTCCAGAAGCCTCCGGGAGCTAGGAAAGAGGACAGAACAGATTCCCCGTCAGAGCTTCTAGAAGGACCTTGCTAACACCTTGATTGTGGATTTCTAGCCTCCAGAAATGACAGAATCAATTTCTATTGTTTTAAACCACAAAAAAACAAAAAGAAAAAATTTCTGTTTCTCCATCGCCCAGCCTCGTCTCAAGTAGTGTATCATCTCAGTAGTGTATCATTGTTCGCTCAGTTGCTCAGGACAAAATCTTTGGCACCGTCCCATACTCCTTTCTTTTTCTCCCACCCCACAGAGTCCTGTCAATCTATCTTAAAAACGTATCTCAAATCAGATCATTCCTCACCACCTCCTCGGCTAACACCTTATCAAATCCTCCATCTCCTCCGTGGACCTCGATGGCATCTTCCAAACGGATCTCTTGGTTTCTCTGCACTCACTCTTGCTGCCCTACAGTCCCCATGCAACATCCAGAGTAATCTTGTAAAGTCAAAATCAGATTATGTTACACAGCATTTAGAATAAAATCAAATTCTTCCCCATGCCCTTGATTCCTCTCTCTCTTCCCCCTTGATCCTTGATTCCTCTCTCACTGGTCTTCTTGCTACTCCTCCCACCCACTAAGCTCATTCCAGGTCTAGAGACCTTAGCCTTCCCTCTGCCTGGAATGCTTTTGTACCCCCTATTTGCAAATTCACACCTACTCCAGTTACCCTCGGATCACTGCTTTATTTTTATTCACTGTATTTATCTGCATCTGATATTATATTATAAATGTACTTACTTAACATGGCTCTGGATTCCTTTCCTATGGCTGCTCTAAGAAGTTGCACCTACATGGTGCTTGAAACAAAAGAAATTGATTCTCTCATCATTCTGGAGACCGGAAGTCCAAAATCAGAATCAGTGGCTGAAATCAAGGTGTTGGCACGATCACATTCTCTCTCGTGGCTCTAGGGGAAAACCCATTCCTTGTTAGCTTCTGGTAGCTTTCAGCATCCCTTGGTTTGTGGCCACATCACTCCAATCAATGCCAGCATTTTTAAATCTCTCTCTGCTCTGTCTTCATACCGCTGTCTCCTCTGTGTGGAGTCAAATCTCCCTCCGCCCCTCTCTTATAAGGATACATGTGATTGCATTTAAGGCCCCACAACCTAGACAACCTCAAATAACCAGGTGGCAGGTATTAGGCAGGAATACCATCATGTTTGCCACCGCATCATAGGCGGCCTGTGCCAGGTGCGGGGAATAGTCGTTTATGTTCTGAGGCTCTATCGACAGCTCAGGGTCATTGTCACCAGGTGGGAGCGAGGTTAGGGTGTGGTCATGTGATCTAGCTGCCCATACATCCACGTATATCAGTCAGAGAGAATGCAGCCCATTTTCTCTTTAACATCATTTCTCCATGTAACGGAATGCTTTTAAAATTAAAATATTAAAGGACAAATCCCTCATCATTATAGACCATACAATTCCAGAACAATTTGAATAATCAAACATCTGGGAGGTTCTATTGCACAGAAGCGAGGAGCGCAGGCTTTCAGCTTTGAACCTGGTCCTGGGTTCACCTTCTCGCCCCATCACTACCCAGCTGAGACCTTCACACGTTACTTTATCTCCAGCCACCGTTTTTCTCTTTGAGAAACAGAGCTAAGTATCACTCTGCCTACAGGGGTGTGGCCAGGTTACCTGGGGTCAGACGAGTGAAATTCTCCATGGGGCCTGGCATGAGCACGTGCTCAGTCAGCATAAGTTGTGATGATCACTTTGTTATTTTCCTCCTTAAATGGTGACTTCCAACCCCCTTTGCTTTGGGTTCACAGGCCAGAGTTTAAGCTTATCCTCATTGCTTCCCTAGGATGTAAAATGGTCAGGCCCCCACTTGGCTGGTTTCATCACTTCAGGGCCTCTGGGCAGTGTGGGCCAGAACCTTTCTGGATGATTCCTGCCAGCTTTTCTCCTGTCATTTGTTGACACCTCAAGCACCCAGTTCTTACCTCATACCAAATATAGAGAAGAAAGGAAAAAAGTCAGGTGACTTGGATAGATGTTTCTAATCTGGAGAAGACCACTTTCTTTCCATTTAAGACCTTTTTCTGCTTGACTCCCTGCACATTGAAGTCGGGGCGCAACAGAAGTTTTCTAAGGGGATTTGGCAACTACTCAACCTCCACCCTCAGATGAAGAAACCGAGGCCCAGGGTGGGGGTGCCCAGAACTCTTGTCCCCGCCACTGGGATTTTTTTCTCACTACACGAGAATCCTGTCTGAGTTCTCTTCCAACTTCCAAACTAGCTTCATTGGAGAGGCTGTGTATCTTTCTTTCGGAGCATGCATTTATACAGAAGCCAGTGTAAAAATCGAAAACAGAATATGTGGGTGTTTCCCCCAAGGACGTAGACAAATTGATGTTTTTGAGTCAATATCAGTCATTCATCAGAAAATAAAAGCCCCTCTGTGTACACTGTGTTTTCCCATTTGTCGCCTTTAACGGACCAGTGGGTGAGCGCTCGAGCATCGTACCTCCATAGCCTTCCTGACAAGCAAACACGACCCAGCCCACAGCTGCCGCCCACAGGGTCCGGTGGAGTGCCTGGTAGGCAGCGGTGGCAGCTGAAGAGGTGGCCGAGGTGTCGTCCACTGCGTACGCCAGAGCGACCACTGCGAACAGGGTTGACAGGGAGCAAATCCACCCCAGCAGAGCCTGCACCTATGGGAAAAGGAAAGAAGAGGTCAAGGCTGTTTTGGCCAATGGTATTTACTCCCTTTTACACTGACTTACTTGTATGTTATTACTGTCCCTTTAGGTGTCTATTTGTAAACCTGAATGGGAGCCCAAATTTGACTAAAATGGAAGGTTCAGATTAGTGGTTATGAGGGATTAGAGTTGTGTGGGATGGGGGAGACGGGGTGTGTGACCGTAAAGATGTGGCACAGGGGAATCTTTGTAGTGACGGGGGAGTTCTGTACCTTGATTATGATGGTGGTTACACAAATCTACACACAAAACTATATACACACACAAATGAGCGCACATAAAACTGTGGACCTAAGGTCTATGGATTGTGCCAATGTCAGTTTCTTGGTTGTGATAATGTACCATAATGACGTAATATGTTACCAGTGGGGGAACCTGGGTCAAGGGTACACAAGACTTCCTGTACTATTTTTGTCACTTGTGATGAATCGCGAATCATTTTTAAATGAAAGTTAAAACAAAAGGTAATGCCCTAACCCACTCCCACTACTCCTAACCTCCCATTCTGTTCCTTATCCAAATGAGGCTCCTTGACTGGTTCTGCCCCCCCCTCCCAAAAATATGAGGGCCCCTGGTCCATAGCACCTACCTGGGCTGTACCTAGTCACCAGGGTCATAAAATGGTGGCAGGAATGGGAGAATGGAGACGTTTCCAGCTCAAAGAACAGCCTCATGAGTTAAATTCTCTTACTGGGCTCAGTTCAAGATTTTAGATCTTACGTCACCTTACTTGACCTTTTGAGACCCAGACCTATCTTCCAAAGATCTCTCTTGCTTCTCCGTTCCAGTTCTCAATGACACCTATGTTGAACCGAACTAGCATCTTATCATTCCACCATCTTGTCTCTAAAGAGAAGCTCTCCCCTCCTTGAGTCTGAGGTTTCTGCTCTAGGTTCTGGTTACAGGGGAGAAAAGGTATTTCCTCAGATGTTCTCCTTGAGCCCCCTCTTTTAGCCTAGGATGTCCTTTACTCCTTTACTCATACTGCACACTGCCTATCTCATTCCTAACATGTGGCATATGCCCCAGCTGCCTCCAGCTTAGACTCTTCCTTATTTTCTGGCTTCTAAAGGTTTGCATTTGGTCTGCCCATCCTTTCTTTATCATTTCTCCAGCTCAGCTTGACTTGAGTTCCAGCTCCTTGCTCCCTGGTCCTGACCCAGCCCTCAGGGTGATTCCCAAATGCTCCATCTTCATCTTAAGTTTTCCCCTTTGCTGGCATCCATCTTCTCCCTGGGCACCCACGCAACCCGGACTACACTGAAGCACCTCTATAAGGCACTCTGTTGCCACTAAATCTACAACTGAGCTGTGCGTTTTCAGGGGAACTTCATAACGCCAACCTACAGAAAAAGTCACATAGCTCCTGCACATCCATTCCTTCCAAGTAAGCCCCAGCTCCTGTTCCTGCCATGAGCAACACAAGATTCTCCAGGGACCAAGGCCTCTTCTCTGGAACGTCTAGGTGAGGTACCCACAAGACCTAGGCAAACCAAGGTAGGGCCTAGCAGAGGGGATTTGGGGCCAGCACTGTACCCTAATAGCGCAAGGAAATTCCTGGCCCTTCTTCCATTGAGAAGAAAATTATCCTTCATTCATTCATTTATGGAGTGCCTTCAGTGAGTCAGGATTTCAGAACTGGGTGCTGGGGGTTCAGAGGTGAGGAAGACACATGTTCTGCCCTCAAAGTCTTGTGGGTAAATGGAAGCCACATGAAAAGGTTTTGCACAGTTCAAGGCCAAGGCCAAGCCCAAGGCCAAGGTAACATATTCAATAGATTGCCCCGAGGGTGGATTTGAGCTCAACAAGACTGGAGGCAAGGAGCAAAGAAGTCCCCATGAGAGATGAAAAGAGCTACAACAAGGTCGGTTGGAGAAGCTAAGTAAGAAGATGGTAGGAGAGACAATCAACAGGGCTTAGTGGCTGATTGGATGGGGAAAACAGGTCAGTGAGGAGGAGGCACCCGAGATGAACCCAGGTTTCCTGCTTAAGTAATGAGGTTGGATGATGAACCAGAATGATTGCCCACAAAGGAGCCAGGGAAAGAGCTGTGTGCTGTAGGCCTGCTCGGAAGGCAAAGTAACAGCTTCTCTCCCTCTAGACACCACATGTTCTGATTCCCAGATGGAAGCATCAAATGTGACCAAGAATCTTGTCTATAGAAACCAAAGAGCTTATGCTGTTTAAAATCCAACCCAAGTAACTAAGCCCTTCCAGAAGAGAGTCTTGCCATTGTAATCTCACTGGATGTGTTTCCCCACATCAGTGGTTTCCCTGGGTCTGTACCAAGGTTCCAGTGAGTGGGACCCCACTGGGTTCCAGGTCTGGAGCTTTCTTAGGGGAGCTCAGTAAGGAAAGCAGAGAATCAAGCTCTGGCAAGAAGATAAGGGCCCTCTTACTCTTCAGTACCAACAGATATCGCTAACACACCACAGCACAATAAGGTACGCAGCAGTCTGACTCCTCTGTAGCTTCGGAAGAGCCTGGCCAGGTGGGCCACCCCAGTCCTAAGCAGTCCCAGCCCTCACCGTGAGCAACAGGGAAAACTTACCTTGGTCTTGAGAATGTTTGCCTGGCGATTTTGGTGCATGAAAATGCTCAGAAAGAGGCCCACGAGGAATGGCCCACATCGGCAGTAGGGCTTAGAGTAGTACTCCAAGAAATATAACACAGCCACATTTTCACTGAAAAACACAAAGAAATAAGACAAAAGATTATGTTTGATCTGGACATGGAAAAGAGAATCTCTCAGACGTCCATTGGGGCAATCAGCAAATCCAAAGGAAAATTTGGGGTACATTTGTTCACTTCCTTAGTGATGATCCACAGACAGTGACTGCACAGTCCTGCCTTAGGCCACAGCTGTCTTGTTACAGTTCCAAATCCCCTTGGGTCCCTCCATCCTGGATCCCAAGGAAATTTGATGACTGTGTTCATTTTCAATAGCTGTTTCTGGTGGCTGGTATGTCAGGATCACTCTAAAACTGTGGTTCTCAGAAGCAAACCTTTTCTGAAAGAAGTGAACCTCTTCATAGAAGCTCTTATGAAATTTGGTTCCTTGGGCCACACCCCCAGGGATTCTGATTCAGTTGGTCCAAGACGTTGCTTGCTGGACCATCAGTGGGATGTCAAGCCTCCCCAGGTGGCTCTCATGTGCATCCAGAGTTAAGCACCACTGGGCTCGACAGGAGTGAGCTTCTCCTCGGTTACCTGGCCTTACCCTCAGCGGCCAATGACACGATGGGAAGGCATGATGCTCTCCTGGTCAAAAGGCCTGGGGTGTAGTCATTCATTCATTCATTTCATCCGCTCACAGATACATATTGAGCACATGCACAAGGCATAGTTCTGGGTTATTTTATATCAGGAGGTCAGCAAAGGCTGCTCTGAGAAAGCGATGTTTGCACAGACATCTGAAGAAAGTGAAGGAGCAAGCCCTGCAAGCTCTAGACTCTAAAGGACAAGCATTCTAGAGTAAGGGAACAGCAAGTGCAGAGGCCCTGAGGAGGGAGCGTGCTTGGTGTGCCGGGGTAAGGAGGCCAGTGTGGCTGGTCCAGAGTCAGCAAGCAGGGTAGTGATAGATGAGGTCAGACAGGGTTTCCACTGTGAGAGCAATGGGCAGAATTTGAGCAGATGATTGACCTGATCTGATTTTCACTGGCATCACTCTGACTGCTGTATTGAGAATAGATTGGCAGGTAGTCATGTCAGTTTTTCCTGTGTAGTACACAGGGTGGTTACAAGAAAGAATCGTTACCCATACTTCACTGGGGAGGCAAAACAGCACAGCGGTAAGGTCCTAGGTTCAACTCACACCATGCCACTTACCGGCTGTGGGACCTTGAAGCGGTAACCCCACCTTCCTCCCATTTCCAGGGTCTCCGTCCAAGGTTCCCAGCAGCAGTTTGCCACTGGAGGAGAAATACAATACAGCCACGTGGGGGCACCCCTTTCCTCTGAGAAGTGTTTCAGCAGCGAGAAGACTCCCCCAGTGCAAGTTGAAAGATTCAGAAGTTTAGAAACCAGAGTGCCAAGCCCAATCAACTCTCCCATCCAGGCGGGAGCACTTCCCACCCAGTTGTTCCACGAGCCGGCGCGCACAGTGCAAACAGCCTGGTATTCATTCAGCTGCCCTCCCTGGGAGGTCCTGGCCATCCGGAGGGCAGGCGAGGGGCAGAACCAGGCAGGCTGGGAACCGCGGTTACCTTGCTTCTGATGGAGCTGCCACCGGAAGGTCATAAGCCAGTGTGAGCAGAGCAGTGGCAGTGAAGGACGCCAAGAACAGCACGGCCCCGAGGAGGATGAGGACATGTTTACTTCTGCAAAGAACAGAGGGCATTGACAGGGGCGCTCTTCAGTTTCCTGCACAGCAAAGTTGGTGGACACGAAAGGCTTGAAACCTTGGCAATCAGAGGCGCTTCCTGCGCGGCCCACCTTTGAGAGAGGCTGAGGTGGGGGCCGCTGTGGCCTAGTCGGGTGAGAGCTGGGCTGGGGTTGGAGTAGTTGGTTAGCCTTGACACTTGACCATTTACTAGCTGCGTGACCCTGAGCAGGACCTGAGCAGAGATAGTAATGGCATCCTTGCCTCACCCTGAAGTTTACTGCGCAGCTCAAAATGAGACCATGCTTGGGAACGTCCCTTGTCACCTACAAAGCACTATGCAGACATATGTCGTTGATTTAGGAGAGACATGCTTGTCAGGCAGGAGGGGACACAGGGTGGACACAGGCACCCATTCCAGGCACAGAGGAGAGGGTAGGGTAAGAGGAAAATCCAGGGGTCCCTCCCCCACCTAGATGCAGAGTCTGAGACAAATATCTGGGTGTGGATAGCTCATGTGGGGACAGGAATGAGGGATGGGGTGGTGGAACAGAGAAGCAGGGAAAGCCAATACAAGGATGCGCTATCAAGGTGGCCAGTGCTCAATTCTTCTAGAATGCTCTGTGGAGCCTTATGAAATGCACCTGAAAACTGTCCTGGGGGATAAAAGAGGGAAGCATCTTCCTACTGTCTTCTATGCCCCATGGGTCAACTGCCACCCCACGCAAATTGATTCCTCCATACTTTGGGACCATGCATGTCTAAGGACAGGAAGGTTCTTGAAGGGGTCCAAACTACAGTAGGTTGGACGTCCTGGTGCAGGAAGTGAGATTTAAGGACACAGAATCAGAGTGAGGCACTGTCTGGTTGTACCTACTTGGAATTGTGAGGGTTGGGACCGAGAGATCTGCGGTGGTATAGAAGAAATGTCAAACTCAGGCACAACCCTAAGCAGATAAGCCCTTTGACAATCCTATTCCACTGCTTGAAGTTGCTGTGGTTCTTCATGAGGATGCAATACCACTCGGTTGTCACCACAGTGATACAGGGAGCAAACGATTTTCATCCAGAGTGCCAATTCTAGTTTAGCGTTAATGCTTGGAATGGAGGAGGCGTCTTAGCTCAGTGGTGCTGTGATTGATTAGTAATGTCTACCAGGAGTGGGACAGGGATGGTACGGTAATAATGCTGTGTATTTACCACACCGTTTGCCAAACCCACTAGCTCTGTCCTCGTTGAATACTGGCGTTCTACGCAAGTGTGTTCTCTGAAGGAAAAAAGCCCTTCCTTCTATGCCTGCCTCCATTTGGAAGCTAAATGTAGTTGCATAGTCACGAGCTTTGGGCAGTGCTGGCTTTTAGCTGAGGGCTTGAAACCAACTTCCATGACAGTCTCTAAGAAAGATGCTGACATTGGGGCCAAGGCTCCTCAGTCACAAGGACACTCAAGTCGGTTCCCAGCCAGGTCTAGAGAGGGGGAGCTACTAAGAACTCATTGTCCTAGGTAGGTGGTAAACCATCCAGTCAGGCCATCCAATAAAAACCCACATCCACTCAAGTAAATATTTGTTTAACTACCTGGGGGACGAGAGCTAATCTGTGGCACCTCCCCTCAGGAGTCAGACAAGTCTCCACTAGCTAACCACCGCTACGACAAAACTCCTAAAGCTTCCCGACATAGACTGTTGTGGGCTCAATTGTGTCTCCCCAAATTCTAACCCCCAGAACATCAGAATGGGACTATTTGGAGACAGGCTCCTTAAAGAGAAAATGAGGGTGAAATGAAGTCCTTGTGGTGGGCCCTAATGAAATATGACTAACGTCTTTATAAGAAGAGAAGATTAGGACACAGACAGACACAGAGGGAAGACCATGTGGGGACACAGGAAGAAGACGGCCACCTACAAGCCAGGGAGAGAGGCCTCAGGAGAAACCAACCCTGCCAACACCTTGATCTCAGACCTCCAGCCTCCAGAACTGTGAGGAAATAAGTTTCTGTTGTTTTAGCCCCCCAGTCTGTAGTACCTTGTTATGAGCAAACTGATACACAGAGGTAGCAAAACAACCAGACGGGGAGATAGTGAGCCACGCCCCTGCTCCCCTTCTGTTAGCCCTTTGTCCTCCTGAGCCCCCGAGCTGCTAGTCAGGACAAACGCCCTTGTGCTAAGGTGTTCCCTCAGCCAGCCCAGGTTGGCAGTTGTATTTCCTGGTTCTTTGAGGGAACTGCTCCCAGAACAATGGGATTGAGGAAAGGCCCAGAGCTTCAAGCATTGACCACCACCCCTGTTCCCTCAAGAGTGATGGTTGCTCAGAAAGGCCCATTCGGGGATATAGCCCAAGAGGAGGAAGGAATAGCAGAGTGTCTCCCTCTGGTCTGAAAAGACCGCAGCTGCCTCAAAGGCCTCTGTCAGCCCCCAGTGTCCTGACGGGGACTCCCCCCACGATTTCTCTTGCCCTTTCTTCATTAAATACCTAGGCCTGCTCATTATTTACAATAGCCAAGACGTGGAACCAGTCTACATGCCCAGAAACTGATGATTGGATAAAGAAGATGTGGTATATATACACAATGGAATACTACTCAGCCATAAAAAAAGACAAAATTGGCCCATTCACAACAACGTGGATGGACCTCGAGGGTACTATGTTAAGCGAAATAAGCCAGTCAGAGAAAGACGAACTCTATATGACTCCACTCATAGGTGGAAATTAGTATACTGATAAGGAGATCTGATCGGTGGTTACCAGGGAAAAGGGGGGGTGGGGGGAGGGCACAGAGGGGGAAGTGGTGTACCCGCAACATGACTAACAAAAATGTACAACTGAAATCTCACAAGGTTGTAATCTATCATAACATTAATAAAAAAAAAAAAAAATACCTAGGCCTGCTGCAAATGCCACCTTGGAGGAAGCCTGCAGAGGCTGCCTTTCCTCCTCTCCTAGGGCTGCCGGGCCTGCTGAGGCTGCGCACCTCTCCCTCCTGTACCAGCAGGCACTTGCCGCGGCCTCCAGGGCCCTTTGAGTGGCCATAGCCCATCCCAGAGCCGAGGCCTTGTCCCCTGGAGAACTGGCCAGCCCGGCTCTGCTGGGCCCAGCTGCTCCCCGCCCCTGAGGGAGCTCTTAAGGTTTGACTGCCTTATGGGGAGGGAGAGTCCACCCCACTGGAGCCCCAGGGGCCTGTGCGTGTCTCAGCTCCTGCTCAGCTCCAGCAGCAGGAGGGATGAGGGACCCAGGAGTGCTCCGGGTAATCAGCTCACTCCGTCTAAGAGGCTTGTGCAGGGTGGGAGGCTTGCTGAGCAACCCAAAGACACCTTTATCTACTCTCAAGCTTCCTTGCCTGATTCCGTGTTGGGGGAGGGGAGGAGATCACACTAATTCCTGATTCCCACCGCTCTCAGTGGCTTCATCCTGGGGCGATGTGAGTATAAATAAAGCAGACATAGAGGGTAGATCTTTCGATGAGAGGATGTTCAGAGCTTTTTTAAAATCTTGATTCCCCAAACAAATAGCAATGTGATTCTCAGATCTTACCATTTCCATAGTCGATCTCATGTGTTTTTATCAGCTCTATTATGCTATCAAAAATCAGGGGCCGGCCCAATGGTACAGCAGTTAAGTTTGCACATTCTGCTTTTTGGCGGCCCAGGGTTCGCCGGTTCGGATCCTGGGTGTGGACATGGCACCGCTTGGCAAGCCATGCTGTGGTAGGCATCCCACATATAAAGTAGAGGAAGATGGGCACGGATGTTAGCTCAGGGCCAGGCTTCCTCAGCAAAAAAAAGAGGACTGGCAGTAGTTAGCTCAGGGCTAATCTTCCTCAAAAAAAAAAAAAGAGAGAGAGAAAAAAATCACACACACACATCCCCCTCTGAGAAAAGAAGACATTAGATGAGGATGTCTTTGTTTCAGGGGAATGGGTAGAGGCGAACCTGGGCCTCACCCCTCCCGCCTTCCACAGCGTGCGTCTGTGTACGGTCACCCCTCACCCTCCCCCACAAGACTGGGCACTTGCTCATGGTCTGCACATCCCCCCAGCCTCTTCGGAGGAGATGGAATTGAGAAATGTAAAGCAAGAAGTGTGTGGGCGAGGCTGAGCAAGAGGAATGCAAAACCTCCAATCTGGAAGCCTTCATTAAAATCTGCTCCACACCAATACCTTCTAGAAAGAGTGTTCAGAGAGGAAATCAAGGAAGGGGCCTAGTTGCAGAGACAAGGGGACCCTTTGTGGAACAGGGACAGTGCAGAGATGGTAAGAGGGCCACCCCCCTGGGTCTAGCTGAGCAGAAGCTCACAATGGGTTCTCCAGCCGCCCCTCCCCTAATCTCTGCAGAGACTGGGAGGGGCAAGGGGCTGCCATGGCTTGGGGACAATGGCAATTACTTGAAATCTCAAAGGACAGGTGACTGAGTTGCACATGGTCACACATCACTGATGAGCAAGCACTGTGCTAGGTCCCATGTGTATGACCTCACTCCTGCCTCCAGCCCTGATGTGAAGTGTTATCATCTCTACTTTATAGACAAGAAAAATGAGGATGAGCGTCCAGCAACTTAGCCTGGGTGCCCTAGCTAGTAATTTACCAGTCAAGACTTGAACGCACGTCTTGACTCAAATTCACTATACCAGCAAACCACCTCTTAGTGGTTAGCTGTGAAACAAATTTTTTATGGTTAGTCAGAAAATCTTTTACATTTGAATTTAGAAAGCTTTGTGTGTTTAAGATATGAATGTAAAAAAGCAGATGTGCCTCTTTTTAAATTGTTCAATTTTTCAGATTGTTAAAATTAGGATGCATTTCCCCTGACTAGGATTCTTGAATGTTTGCATGTGGCTAGAATGGGCAACATCACGGGCCAGCCTGAGATTTAAATGCCTGCCTTGCAAAGGGCATGAATAGGTACCAGGAAACAGCTGGGCAACACACATTTGGAACTCAGCTCTGCTTCCTAGTAATCAAAGACTTACAAGTTAGATGCGGAAAATGAATGTTTTTTACATAACCAAACAACAAGGTTTGTGTTTTGTTTTGTTTTATTATTAATATTCCATATTGGCAATGGTGTAATTAGACAGCCAGAGGACTGAATATTGATACAATCTTTTTTTTTTTTTTTGAGGAAGATTAGCCCTGAACTAACATCTGCCACCAATCCTTCTCTTTTTTTGCTGAGGAAGATTGGCCCTGAGTTAACATCCGTGCCCATCTTCCTCTACTTTATATGTGGGACGTCTGCCACCGCATGGCTTGATAAGCAGTGTGTAGGTCCACACCCAGGATCCGAACTGGCGAACCCTGGGCCACCAAAGTGGAGCATGCAAACTTAACTGCTGCACCACTGGGCCAGCCCCTGGATACAATTTTTAAGGGAAGCAATTTGTCATTATGCTTCAAGAACCCAAAAGACATTCATGCCCTTTGACCCAGTAATTCCTCTTAAGGGTATGCATTCTAAAGAAATATCAGAGGTGGAGGCAAGTGATTATCACGAAAATGTTTATCAGGCTCTTATTTATAAAAACAAAAACTGGAAATAATCCAAGTATTTAACAGTAGGGGAAGTTTACTGTAAGTAAACTATAGTTCATTTAAGGAATGAAATGTTACGCAGACATTAAAATTATGTTTACTTTAAAAAATAAAATAATATAGGAAAATGCTTATGTCATAAAACTATTAAAAGAAAGATATTAAAGTGGACACGCAGAATCCTTTCGTGTATAAAAAGCTGTACAGAAAAAGGATAAACACCAGATGTTAACAGCAAATTCACCTCTCCTTGAGTGAGTCCCTTCTCTTCATCCTAATATTGTCCAATGTTTCTTAAATTGAACATGTATTTTAACAAAAAAAGAATAACAAATCTTTTAAAATATGGCGTGAATAATCCACAAACTATAAGTCTCTCTGTGAATTATTGAGGCCTTAAAGCTTTTCTAAAACTAGCAAAAATTAAGGTGATGAATATCCAACTCAGGGAAGCAGCTACGCTGATGTATTGCGCGGGGCGCTGTAAATCACTTCACTCTTTCCAGAAAGTAGCCCCACAATATGGGACAGGCACCACAAAACGGTTCCTACCCTTTCACCTAGTAATTCCACTTGGAAATATGTCTCCAAGGAAATAACTAAAAGGAAAAGTCGTGTGTTCAAAGACATTCATTGTGGTGCCATTTGTAATCATAAAAAATTGGAAACAATCTAGACCAGCCATAAAAACAGCATATAAATTCTAAAGCTGACAAGTATGCAGGTCACGTCACTATGTGGAAGTGTTTATAAGAACATTTAAGTGGAAAAAGCTGAACACTACACATTACATACACGCTGATTATCACTCTGCCGAAACACATAGTGATTTGCGTCGGACGTAGATTGGAGGAGAATGGAGAAGAAGGTAAACGTGGAAGACCCAGCGTCTGAACTCTTCTGAAAGCTCATTTCCTAAGTTTTGAAATCTGCTCTGCGCATAACTGGAGCGCTGTCTAAAAGTTTCGTGAAAGAGGCCACGTGGGGAGAAATATTTGTCCCAATCAGACTCACTTTCCATAGATGAAGATGATCGCTGGTGTCGTGAGATGGAACTGAAAGTCATTGGCGAGGTACCACGTCCAGCCGTTGCACTGAAACGAGAGGAGCAAAGGTTACTTCTTTCCTTCCCTTACGGGGTCTGCTCCACATGGTCTCGCCTTCTGGGACCAGGAGGGAGAATTGAGTAGGCGGGTGGGGGGCATTTCCATGGGAAGAGAAAGGAGTTTTGAGTCACAGTTATTTCGGATACCTTCTCTCATCTAGTGCTTGTAATGAGCCTGGATGGTAGGTATTATTACTGCCATTTTACAAACTGGAGATTCAAACAAGTTTTCTCTTTTTTAAAAAAAAAAAAGACAATAATAGCTAATCTCCTAGGACAGTTGTGGGAACTAAACTCTCTCATGTTACACGAATAGAAGGAGTAATTAATGTTACATGAGGTTGGAGCCACAAGAGTCGATGTTGTTCTCTCCTCCTCGCCTTGCCTCCCCCGTCAACTCCAGGAGGAGAGAATGTGTTCATTTAGAAGGGAGGCCTAGTGCCAGACGAGATTTTGTTGGAAACCCCAGAGTTCCCACTCTTGATTGACATGAGATCGTCTGGCCGAAGCCACACTGTCCCACAGTCTGTCCATGTTTGTGTGAAATGAGGCGGCTACCTGTATTTCTCCTTTAATGTGAGGAAATTCCTGGGGGCAACTCTCTCCAGTGCTTCAGAGGGAAAAGGTGCCTTGGTCTCCTCCCCAAACCCCATGGTCCAAGGGAGACCAGACTGACCCAACAGAAGCGACAGCTTTCCTCGTCGCAGTTACAGAGAAGTTCTCATGTTGGGGAAATTTGTGAGTACTCAAGGCTTGAGGGCCCTCACACCTCTGCTTTCAAGGATCTAAGCTGGGCTTTACCTCATAGAGACGAATGGCTGGTCTCCATATGGCTCAAGCCAGTCTGCATCCAGACCCTGTCACAGACATGAGCCCACCTGAAGGCAGTTAGCCGGTGATGTACACCCTGTCAAAGCTGCCGGGCACCTGCGAAGGGAAGGTGGCTGCCTATTTGGTAAGTGGTTATGTGCAGGAATTAGGCACGCTTTAGAGATTCTCTTTTCAGCTGCACTTCTGAGGCATACGCAAAATCAGCGATGTGATTTAATCACGTCTATTTCACTTTTATTCACTCCAAGTTCATTGTGAGGACATTAGGGCTTGAGGGAAGCCATGACGGATATAGAGCTTGTTGCTCCCAACCAACTCTGTCAGGTCTGGCTTGAAATTGCGCAGAATTCATTATGGTGAGCGGGTGGTGCAACGTTCCATCCCATGACAGGCTCTCTGCGTGGAGGAGAAAGTGTCCTTTCCCCTGGGGGCCATATGGACTGGAATGGGCAGGAACTGTGATGGAGCAGGGTCAGCTGTGTCCAAGATGTGCACTTAGATGGTTGACCCCTCAGTGCCCACCACCCTGCTTCCTCCTTCTGCTTTTCCAAGCAACTGCTCCTGCCAAGACTAGTACGCACTCCATCACAAGAGGCTAGACTCCAGGCCCACAGCCCACCTTCCTACAGCATCACTATGACTCCAGAGAATAGACCCAAAGAAAGGGGTTCAGACTCAGGGTTGGTCCCTGGAAAGTTCTCCAAACCACATGAAGTGGGACTCTGCCTCTGCGCCCATCTGCCCTTTCACAGCCAACAACTTGGGACTCACCGCATTCTGAACCGACAGGAAATTATTTAGCAGCAGCAAATTTGTCCACCATGCTTGCCGGCAGTTATCCAGGTGGAACTTGGGCACTTCCCAGACAGGTCCCCAAGGAACAAGGGAGAACAATCCAACCAACAGGCACACGGAATACAAGTGAAGAGGCTGCAACCTGGTGGGAAAGAGCCGGGTGAGAGAAGGTGACTCCACGTGGGTTCTGTTCAGAGCCCTGGGTGGGCACACAGAGACGGGGTCTAAGATGCTCTAAAACAGATTGCACTGGGTGGGCAACCACCTCCCCACCCACACCTCAAACAGTCACACATCCGTGGGTTCAAAATCTTTTCTTGAGCACCTATCATGTGCTGACTACGATGCTGCTGATGCAAAAATACTGCTTTTCACTGAGGAAGTCATACAATTCGGCCACTGTACTGGGAGCTTTTTAGATATTTCTAAACCTCATAACACTCCTGTCGGGTACCTATTACCTCTGTTTTACTGATGAGGAAATTATAGCTCAGAGAATCTCAGGTGACTTGCCCAAGGTGGCCCAACCGTATGGCAGAACAGAGATCGGACACCAGTTTGTTCTTTCCACATGGCCTCCCTAGATGAAAATATCTTTCCTCCCTTCCTCTTTCCATCTTTTCCTCTCTCCCTTCCTTGCTTTATTTTTTCCTTCCTTCCTTCATACCCTACCTCCTTCCAAGCAGGATCTGAAGCAGCTACAAAGATGATGCACAAGGCACAAGGTGTCTAGACCAGCGCTGTGCAAGAGAAATATAATTCGAGCCACATCTGCCATCTAGTTTACATTTTCTGGTGGCCATATTTTTAAAAGTCAAAAGAAATAGATACGAGTAATTTTAATAATATATTTTATCTAGCCCAATATAGCCAAAATATTATTTCAACAAGTAACCAACATAAAAAAAACATTAAGCTATTTTACATTCTTTTTTCTTTTACTAAGTCTTAGGTGTGTATTTTACACTTACATCACATCTCAATGAGCCATGTGTGTCTGGTGGCTACCTATCGGACGTCGCTGGTCTAGAGTTTAAAAGTAAGGTTGTGGCAGGGAGGCGCACACACAGGAGTCTGGCATGGATTCTGGGTGGGCTGCAATCACAGCATTCTTTTAAAAGAGCAAATTTAAAAATTCAGGGTAGTGCAACCAGAGCAGAGCACGTGACCCAGCAGCACCTCCGAATATCTCAGTGGCGGTGTCAGGACCCAGTTGGTGGTGTGGCAGATGGGAAGGGCAGGTCTGTTAGAGGTGCCCCCTCCTAGCAGAGTCGTGGGTCAGCACCCAGCCTCTGGTCTGCACCCAGGACCCAGACCTGTTGGCCTCCTGTCATCCCCACAATAATAACATCAGTGGGCATGCAGGGAGCAGAGTTGGAATTGGTGATTAAAGTCAGAGAGAAAGGGCAGGGCTGACCATGCCAAGATGCAACTTCCCAGACCAGCTCAGGCAACAGCCACAGAGCCCTCTCTTGGTCCTGGTTCCTGCCAGATTCGCCGTCAGAACGAGCTGCCTACCAGCTGCTCCCACCGGCCTTAGGCTCCCACCTCCCTGGCCTCCCTTCCCACCATCTGTCGCCTCCCCCTCCCCAGAGAGAGGAAGTCATCCCCCTGCCCCCTTCAGAAGCAGAGCTCAGGTTAGACGCCCTCAGGAGAGAGTATGCGACAGGCAGCGTCCCCCACCTGTTATCCACAGGAGGCAGAGGCTGCTGTGTGGACCACACCCTGAGTAGCGAGGCTACATGGGAAAGAACAAGACACGTGAGCTCTAGTTTTGTCTACATTTTTCACGCTGAGAAAATCATATAACTTCTCTCTCCCCCCTGCTATGGAAAAGGGGGCCGATGATTGCTTAGGTTTTTCCAAGGAGGAGGATTCCTGCCTCTGAAGATTTTTTGAGAATGAGATCAATAAGAAAACAGTTTGAAACATTGAAAACATCATATAAATGTGCATGTGCTCCATTTTGTCCAAACCTCCAGTAGATTTAAAGTCAAAGTGGGTTTTCAAAGATTAGGAAGTACGATACTAGTCAGTGTCACAGAGGTGTGAGAAGCAGTGTTCTCACACTTGGTAGGTGGGAAGGGACATTGGAAAATGGCCATCAAAACATCAGATGCACTGAACCACCAATTCCACTTGTAGGAATTTACTCCACAAACATGCTCATACAGTTGCACAAAAATATACAGGTTAATACGTGATGGTCCACTCCCACACAGCACCACCCCAGGCAAGTTTAAAATCAGTGAGGTGGGTTCCTGCATGCTAATAGAGAAACACGCCAGCACTGAATCAGTAGGTGAAAGAAGCTACGTGCAAAAGTGTACAGTATGTAGGATAATCCTATCCACGGGAAAAAAAGTGCTTATAAATACATGGAAAGTTTCTGCAAGAATTCACAAGAAACCGTTAGCAAAGATGCCCTTTGGGAAGTAAGACTGGAAGGGGGACCCTTAGTTTTAATAGATAACTTTCTTTTACAGTTAGACATTTTTATCACAAGCTATAAAAAAATCTAATGTTTAAAATGTGGCTCCTAGTTGGACTAATCACAGCTTTAAGGGTCTGGAGCAACTACTCGCTCTGTTTTCCCCGGGATAATTTCTGTTCTGACTTACTTCTACAAGTCAGGTTTTTGCATTTTCTTATAACTTGCAATGGCTCCCAACTGCTCTTTGATCTCCTGCCCTGGCCCTCCTGCTCTTATGCTCTCTTCTCTGCCCTGCAGCCAGAGTGATTCTTGCAAAATGTAAATCAGACCACACCCCCTACTGGAACCTTCCAAAGGCTTCTTTCTTGTCTCAGAATGAAACGGAAAGTCTTCAAGGTAGCCCACAGGCCCTACACACCTGGGCCCTCGGTGCCCCCATCCCCACCTCTATGACCTCATTTCCTCTGCTCCCTGCATCCCTTGCTCCAGCCCTGCACCTTTGGGCTCTTTGAGGTTCTTCAAACACACCAACCATACTCCCTCCTCAGGACCTTTGCACGTGCTTCCCCCTGAGCAGACCCTCTTCCCCCACAGCATTTTCCTTGCTTAGAATATTCCTGTACTTCCTTTAAGGTTCTTGGTAAACGTCACCGTCCCTGACTACCATTCTAGAGGAAGACCCCGTCTTGCTTCCTTCTCCAAATTATCTCTTTGTGGCACTTATGGTTACTGACCTAATATAAATTTATTTGCATATTTATTTGTTTCTTTCCACTTGGATGTAACCCTCCCATGCCCGAAGGCATGTGCATGGCTGATTAACAGCTGAATCCTCAGAGCTGAGGACAGTGCCTGGCACACAGTGGTCCCTTGACAAATACAGACAGAGTGAGTGAACAAGTGGCCTTATTTCCAGTCCTCTTGGAGGTAAATAGGCAAGTAATAAGTCGTAACTGAGCCATAACAGTGAGTTTTGCTGGCATGAATGAGAATATTGAAATGACCAGGAGCATGGCTGCTTCTTCACTGGGTTTACCTTAAGGAGGGTGAGTTCAAACTATGGGTTGGTGATACTTCCCGCCATTTTCAACATAGCTTTTGTCCCAGGTTGGACTCACTGTCTTCCAGGCTCCAGTGTGGCTTCTCCCAGAGCTCCCTTTCTCAAGAATGTCACCACCATCTGCCACATCACTCAGGCTAGAAAATTCTATTTGCTCTGTCTCCATTCCCACCACCAATTGCCAGTCCAAATCCTGCTCTCCTGCCCAGATATTGCAATAATTTACTCACTGGGGTCCTCGCCTCCATCTCACCCTGTAAGGCCCCCCACCACCACCCCCAGTGCACTTGCTGCTCTCACTCCTGCTTTATCTGCCTGGTCCTCAGTCCCCAGCTCCAGGATTTTTCCTGTGAAGCAAGTTTCCCAGGCAGAATTTGCCATGTCATTGGATCCCCCACCCCAAGCTCTAACTAACCCATCTTAGCGTTTATTACTAAGAACCCCTGGCCTGAATACCAGTCCGTTTCCTCCAGTAGACTTCAGAGCAGGACAGGCTACTTAACCCAGTGCCACCTACCCAAAAGCTATTGAAAGAATAGGCATTCTGTCCTTCCCAGGATGAGGGCTAGATTTAATAGAGCTTGCAAGGAACCACAAAGGCCGATGGTGAAAGGAAGTCAATAAAGGTCTATTCCATAGCTCACGGTCATTCTTAACCTATTTATAGGAAAAGTTAAAGGGTGTATGTAACAACAATAGTAACAACGATAACTTATACTTACTGAGAGCTTACTAGGTGTTAACGCATTTTTTTAAGTTCTTTACATACGTTATTTCATTTAATCTTCACAAGAGTCCAATGAAGTGAGTGCCGTTATTCTCCCCATTTTTGAGAAGAGAAAACTCAAGCACAGAAAGATTGAGACATTTATTCAAGGTCTCACAGCCGGTAAGTGATGAAGTCAGAATGCAAGCCCAGCAGACAAACTACAGAGTCAAATCTTACCCACTCCATTTTACTAGCCCAGAAGATTATTTCAACATTCTCTTTCCTAGTCATGACAGTGTCATGTAACAGGAGGGACATGGACCATGAGTAATGAAACCCGGGCTCCAGTCCAGCAATGAACCATGATTTAGAAAACGTGTGAATGGAAGCATCAGGTTGCGTGAGTTGAAGTTTCCCCTTCTCCCACAACGTCGACTGTCTTATAACATCACTGCCACTCTGTTATCCCACTGATTCCATGTTCTTTCCCCCTATTTCAGCCCTTCTGCTCCAACCAACCGCACATTCACAAGAAGACGATCATCCATCCTGCCTCCCTCTCAGCAGAACGACCATTATCTCAAGCTTCAACTAGCCCCTCTCCTGGTTGTGTCTTATTTTATTTTTATCATTATCATTAGTGCTTTTATTTATGGACCAATTAATACCCAATTACAGGAGCCATACAAAGTCTCCTCTTGACTATAGATTCCACGTCAGAATGTTTATTGAAATCTGCTGCCCATCTGATGAGGAATAATGATATTTTTGGCAGTAAAAGAAACCAGTTTTCATGGTATTTGTCCTAAAAGAATTTGAACTACAGTCAAATTCTATAGTCAAAAAACTATATGTCGCTTAACGACAGGAATACATTCTGAGAAATGTGCCATTAGGCGACTTTGTCTTTGCAAAAACATCACAGATGGGATAGCCTACTACACCACCTAGGCTATATGGTACTAATCTCATGGGACCACCATCATATATGTGGTTCGTCATTGACCAAAACATTGTTATGCAGCACAAGACTTATATTAAACCAGCAAAAACCAACTGTATTTAAGGAAAACTTTTCTCTCAGTTTATTTTTCTTTGAAAATTCTTTCAAAAGAGGGTTAAAGACTGAAAACTAACAAATTATTACATAGCAGTAATGAATTGAGAAATTATATAAATAAACCTACCTTGTAAGGCGATTGAAATAGTATCTGAGTATGACATTAGCAGTTATTCCCTTGTCTGAATTCTGCTGCATCTTTAAAAATGACCTCGCACTTAACCAGCCGCTGAGGGAAAGAAAAGCATAGTCATAGGAATTACTTGTTGATGAGACAGTTCATTGGTTGATTAATTCGGTTGTCTCTATCAAGATAGAATAAGTTACTCTACAGGAACAAAACGCCTCCAAGTCTTAAAACAATAGTGTTCTTCTGGCTCATGTTACTTGTTCACAGCCAGTCACCTTGGGGTCAACATTTTCCTCACTATGGGACCCAGGCTGATGGGGCAGCCACCATCTGAAAGTTCACCAGTGACCATGGCAGAGGACAAGACAGTTCTGGAGGGGCTCAAACCAGCAATTAAATGCTCTAGTCCAAAAGTGACACACGTAAAACTTTTAGCCTAAGAGTTTAAGGCTCTTGGCATAATGACAATACCAGGTACCACTCATTGGTCAGACCTAGTGATGTGGCCCACCCAACCACAGTGGGGCCAGGAAGCAGAATGTCACCAAGTGCCTGGAGGGAGGAGATCCAGAAATATTTGGTGAACAACACTAATAACTACCACATTAGTCTCTTGCAATAATAACGTCAAGGCCTCCCATTTCGGTACTACCACTCATTTTCAAAGTACTTTCACTGATCCGATTGCTTTTGCTTCTCCAGCCATACCAAACAACTTTGCCATAAATATTCACTGAGTGAGTGATCAAATAGAGGAATAAACAACCCTACTAGGCAAAAGGGAAGATATTACCTAATAGGGGAACAAAGACTGTTATGTGGGTTGCCCAAGATCCCAGTTGGAATTCTTAACCAACATATCCTGATGACAAAGTCATTACCCAGAATGTTCAGCTAAAGAAACCGAGGATATGCCTTTGAGTTATAACTTGAGGGTAAGCACATTTGTGAGTGTTTCCCAACCTTCTGACATTTATACCAATAACACTTGTGGGTGTTTCCCTAAGGAACAAATGTATTTGCTATTGCAAAAGAAGGTTGTGCATGTCGGGTGGGACTTGGAAGGGATCCGGGCCTGGGGGGGTAATGTCTTTATTCTCTGCCAGCTAGATTTTCTTTTAAAATGCAACAAGCTGGATTCACTATAATAGGAACAAAATTTATAGAGACATGTGAAAGAGAGCACTGAGATGTACAAGTAGGACAGCCAATACTGATCCCAGCCTTCTCTTAATTTCAGGAAAGAATGAATGAGGGGACTGAGCAATCCTTTCTTTTCAGAGTGCCTGGCTCCTCCTCTGCCAGCATGGTTGCTAAGCAAGGCCTGGGTCTCACTGTGTGTGGGCATGCACTGCCCAGCCTTTAAGTTCATAAAGACAGGACAAAGAGAAAGGCTGGCAGGAAGACAGGCTCAGAGCAATAGAACTAGTTCTAGGAGAGTAAGGAGATCCAGAGACCTCAGCAGACTGGGACAGAGTAAAATCCTGCAATAGAGAGCTATGAAGTCGCCCTGAGGGGTGGAAAAAGATTCCAAAACTGTCACCAGTGATAAGCAGAGTCTTCAGTCTTACCCTGTAAGCATATTAGTGATGTAGGGGAGGAAGACATTTCCTCTACCCACTCTAGGTCCTTCTGGCTGGGCTATGAAGTATGAGACAGAATAACAGGAGAAAATTAAACAAAGCTTTATAACATGTATATATGGGAGAGACTCATGAAAAGCGAGCAACTCGCCAAAACGGTGGAGGGTCTCATTTTGAATACCATCTTCAGCTACAAAGGAGGATGTTGGGGGTGGGGGAGTCAGTTATGGGAGATTACCAGAAAAGCACAGTAAACAAGAGTAAGGTTATTATGCAGATTTAAGGCCTTGCCTTCTGCACTGATAAGAGTTTCTAGAGATAAGGTCATCCCCTGTTCTTCCTGGTACAGAGAGGGAGACACATTTACAGATGGAGATTTCCCTTACAAATGTAAATGTCTCAGGCTGCCCCGTGGCCCAGTGGTTAAGTTCTCGTGCTCTGCTTCAGCAGCCCAGGGTTTCACCAGTTGGGATCCTGGGCGTGGACATGGCACTGATCATCAGGCCATGCTGAGGCGGCATTCCACATGCCACAGCTAGAAGGACCCACAACTAAAAAATACACAACTATGTATCAGGGGGCTTTGGGGAGAAAAAGGAAAAATAAAATCTTTTAAAAAAATGCAAATGTCTCTTATAAAGGGTACCTTCTGCTTTTCAGAGTTTCTCTCATGTCTGCAGTTTTTAAAAGTAACCAGCCCAAAATAATCCTCATACCAAAGAGACATATCTTGGGGTGGCCAATTCCAATCCCTCACAGTGACACAGTGGTTAAGACATGGTTTCAGCATGAAACAAACATTATATTTAACTTCTGGCCATACTCTGAGCACCACTGATAAAAGACACAGTACTCCTCAGGCCCCAGATGGAGCCAGGTGTCAGGTATATGGTCTTGAGGATAAGGAGGGTGGCAAGGGGTGGGGGAGGGAGCGTGGCATTTGTCGTTTTCTTGGATGTCTGGAATTTCAACAGCCTTGGCCTGTTTTGTATGTCTCAGGGCCAACCCAACGGCTTCTCTGTTGTCTCAGATTCCCACTGATGGCCCAGGGATGGCCAGTGACCTTTCATGCCCTTCATTCTTCCCTCCAAGTGGCAATTCTCCAGCTTGCGTCTTGGCGTTGGTTCCAGCCATCCTGATCTGCCCTGGCTGGCCTCCCTCCAGGGCTTAGAGCTCTGCCAGTCAGTCCCATCCAGCATATGGTGCCTTTTTTGCCTTGTTCTTCCCAGTCCCCTTGCAGGGAACAGAGTTCTGGTCTTTGCTGTCCCATGGATGCACCTCCCCACTGTCCAGGGGGCCTCCCTGGACTTCACCTGCCTGGTTAGACCCCGCTATGCTCTCCTGGAAAGCCTGGTGCCCAGTGATTCCCAAATCACTTCTGGGTTTGCTGCCCATGATGGACGCTGCACCGTGCCTTCTGGGATACTCTCTGTTGTCACCTTGGCCACCTCCGAGGTAGCATGAGCTGCCACCCTAGTGGACAGGTCTCAGATCATTCTGTGCCCTACTTTTTCTGCATTACCCCAAGAAACTATGATGTCAGAATCATGCCAGAGTCTTGAGCTAGAACAATTAAAATAATTCTGACAGCTATTTATAGAGCAGTACTATATGCCAAGCATGGTTTTAAGCACTGGTGACAGCAAAACACACAACAGAAAAAGTCCTGCCTTACATTCCAGTGGAGACAGACAATAAATACATAAATAAAATGGCGTCTATGGTACGTTGATAAAGAGGAAAAATAAATCAGGAAAAATGAAGTAGAGAGTGCTAGGTGGGTCCATTTTAAACAGGGAGGACAAGAAAGGCCTTGCTGTGAAGGTGACATTTGAGTGAAAACCTGAAGGAAAGGGAGCAAGCCACTGGGACATCAGGGAAGTAGGTGTTTCGGAAAATGGATGGTTCTTAGCAATCCCTAACTATTGTTCTGCCCAGCTTGGGAGCTGGTTCTCTCCTAATCCAGTGGTTCATACACTTTTGAATGGCATGGACTTGTAAAACTAAAAAAAAAAATTGGGGCACTTATCAGCAGATTGCTCTGTCATTGTTTGCTGATGACAACCTCTCCAGCATCCATCAATTTGTTCCCTTCTCTTCAGTTGTTCCCAACATACTGTAAATATGTTCTTGACTCTCCTCTCTTTAAATGACCTCTCTCTAAGCCCCATAAACCCTACAGCAACACTCCATTTCTTTTCTCCCTCAAACAGCAAAACATCTTAACAGAGCTGTCCACGGTCAGTGTCTACACCCTCCCACCTTTGCCCCACTCCAGTCAGGCTTCCATTTCTACTCTTCATGGCCACTCTCATGACAGGGTCACCAGGATGCCTCCAGTTGCATATTCAACTCCCACAGCATTGAGCGTTGACAATGTTCTTCCTTCTTGAATTGCTTTCTTCTCTTGGCTCGCTGGTCCCCATGGTGTCTTGCTTATCCTCCCACTTCACTGGTCACTCATTCTCAGACTCCTTTGCAAGCTCCTCCCCTTCTTCCCAGCCTCTAAAGGTTGGGACACCAGAGGTCCTAGGAGTCATTGCAGATCTGTCATTCCATTCTCCTCCCAGAGTGATCTGATTCAGCACTATGGCTTTAAATGCCGCCTGTATCCCAAGGACTCCAAAACTGGTGTCTCCAGCCTTGACATTTCTACTGAGCTCCAGGCTTACATAGCAAACTGCTTACCTAACATCTTTATGCGGATGTCTGAAAAGTTCCTTACTCTTAAATTGCCCCAAACAGAAAGCTCAGTTTTCCCCTCCAAATCCTGCTTCTTCTCTAATCTTTTCCATCTCAATGAATGCCATCACCATCCACTCAGTTATCAGAGTCAACCCCTAGAAGTCGTCCGTCCTCGACTCCTCTGTTTTTCTCACACTTCAATCCAACCCATCGACACGTCCTAACAATTCCACCTCTGAAACGTATCTTGAACATGTCCTTTTCTTTCTATCCCAGCCACCTCAGTCCAAGCCTTATCATTTCTCGTCTGAAATACGACAAAGTTCACCTGATTGATCTTCCTGCTTCTGTTTCTGTTTTTCTTAGATCTCTTATTAACATAGAGCCAGAGTGATCGTTTGAAAATGTTAGGTCATATCACTCTCCAAATTAAAGCAATCCAACAACTTCCCATCCGAGCAAGATTCATGGCCAGACTCTTCAGTATGGCCACAAGGCGCTACATGGTCCAGCCCTGCCTGTCTCTCTTGTCTCCATCTTCCCCGCTCTCCCCACCCTGCACTAGACTTCGGCCTTCTTCTGCTCCTTTAACAAGGCTCCCTCGCTCTTGCCTTAGCACTTTCGGGCTACTTGCTCCCTCTTTCTTGACCTGGGTTTTCCCATGGCTGGCTCCTTCTTGCCATTAAGGTCTCAGATCAAATAGCCCCTCATTCAGACAAGGCTCCTCTGACCTAATCGAAACAGCTTCCCGATCCCTCTCACAGCCTCTTGTTTAATTTCTTTCCTGATATTTATTACTATCAGATAATTTCTTGTTTATTCACTTATTGCTGGAAACACACACACACACACACACACACACACACACACAGACTCTAATAGAAGCACCATGAGAAATCCTTGTTTGTTTTACCCACTGCTGTATCCTTGGGGTCTAGAACAATGCCTGGCAAATAGACATTCAATGAATCATGATTGGATAGATGAATGCTTAGCATTTGATAAAAACATCACAATCACCATCTCCCTATAACAGAAGGGATATTTAGCCCAAAGAGGTAGAGGCAAGGCAGCCCAGTGGCTGGGAACATGGACCCTGGAGTCAGATTGCAGGGGTTTGGATTGTGGGCCCACAGGACTATCCCCTCAGTCTCCATTTCCTTATCTTTAAGATGGAGATTTAGCAGTCTATCCCTACAATGGAATATTACTCAGCCATAAAAAGGAATGAGCACCGATACGTGCTACAACATAGATGAACTTCAAAAATATCATGCTAAGTGGAAGAAGCCAGGCACAAAAAAACACGTGTTGTGTGATCCTTTTATGTGAAATATCTAGAACAGGTAAATCAACAGATACAGAAAGCAGATTTCCAGGAACTGGAGGGAGCGGGCGCTGGGAAATACTGCTTAATGGGGATGAAGTTCCCCTTGGGGATGATGACAATGTTTCGGACTAGACAGAGTGGTGGTTGCACAACATTGTGAAGGTACGAAATGCCACTGAATTGTTCACTTTAAGTG